ATGGCCTTGCTTCCTGCTCCCACCTCCGGGACTGGGTGCTGGGTGCTGGAGGCTGCAGACACTGCTAGTTTCTGGACCTCGTTCTCTCTCCTTTCACAACTTGAGTTTTGTGCTGACGGGGTCTCGCGTACTTGCCAATCAGGCTGGCCCCTCCTAAACTTGGCCCCTCCTGGACCTGGCCCCTCCTGGACCTGGCCCCTCCTGAACTTGGCCCCTCCTAAACTTGGCCCCTCCTGGACNTCCTGGACCTGGCCCCTCCTGGACCTGGCCCCTCCTGAACTTGGCCCCTCCTAAACTTGGCCCCTCCTGGACCTGGCCCCTCCTGGACCTGGCCCTTCCTGAACTTGGCCCCTCCTGAACTTGGCCCCTCCTGAACTTGGCCCCTCCTGAACTTGGCCCCTCCTGGACCTGGCCCCTCCTGAACTTGTTCTGAAGCTTTTCTGGTCACCTCTGGAGGAGCCCCAGCTCCAGGACTGGTTCAGCCGGCCCCTGAGACCTGGCTGTGGTGGTGAGTGCGCTGGGGAGCAGTCGGCCTCCTCATCCCAGTGGCTGGGTTGAGTGGCTCCTGCCCCGTGGACGCAGGCGTGTCTTGGCCCACAGAGCTCCTGGGGTAGCTGCTGCCCCCTCCCGAGGCCTCACTCTGTGGTGCTCAGCCAGCRTTTGGTCACTGGTGCAATTGGGATTTCAGCTCTCCAGGGCTCTGCCCACAAGTCCCAGGCCCCTGGCCGCCCCTGGCTCTGCCTCTCCTCCTGCAGGGTYGGGCAGCACCCTGCTGTCCACACCGCAACAGCTGCTTCTTGTGCTTTGGGTTCAGTTTTCTAGTTGCCCCTGGCGGGAGGGGAGTCTGGTGCCCACCGTGGCCACAGTACCCGAGAAGCTTCAATTCTCACCTCGAGGGAGACGTGGGGTTTTGATTGGCTTGTTTTTAATCACGTGCACTTCTCTGCCAGCCTGAGGAGTCCCTAATCATTCCCAGGGGTCCTGGGATCAGGGAACACAGTCACCCTRGTGCCCTAACAGCAGATGACCACGGTTAGGGTTAGGTTAGGGTTAGGGTGCTCAGCACCCACAAGGCCCCAGGCCTGGTGGGGGGGGCTCTGCAGGGGGTCCTTGCTGAGTGTTCCCAGAACACCGCCCCCCTGCAGAGGTCGTCATTGCTCTATTTAACCAGGAGGAATGTCTAGCCCATTGTCACCCAGCCAATAGGTGGCCTGGCCTGGGCTCCAGAGCACCTGGCGTTCCTTGGCTTGTGGCCGCCTCACACAACCAGCCCTGCACCCATCTCCCAGGGTTGGTCTGCCCCCAGGTGGGGTCAGGGCCCACGGTGGGCGGCACAGCCTCACCAGAGCTTGGCTGCACTGGACACTACTCCCACAGGAGGAGGCCTCACTCGCAGGTTAGGACTTGCACATATCGAGAGCTACTCGGGCTGGGAGGGTGGGGTACATGGTCTGGCTTCAGGGGTCAYCCAGGAAGGCCTTCAGAGGAGTGCCCTCGGGGCAGAGACGCCAAGGACTGGGGCAGCTGTCCCTGGGCATGGGGAAGGCAGACAGGAGCTTTGCACCTCAGGATCCTTGATTATTAAGGGGGAAGTGAGACCCACGARGTCACCCTAGGGTCTCACAGAGGAGGAGCGTTTGGCTCCCAGGCCAGGGACCGAGGCTAGGAAGGGAACTTACTGCCATCCTCCAGGGCCATCGGCTCTGTGCCACCCAGTGCCCACTCCCTGGACCCCCTGCCCCTGGCCCTACCATGAGTGCAGAGTGCACAGACCAGGCCTGCTGGCAGCCCTCCCGGGGTCCTTCCCTCCCTGGGGGTCCCTYGCAGCTCTCGGTTGGTGCCTTCCCACCTCGGCACCCAGCCCAGCCCTGGGTTCAGCCTTGTGGGCAAGTCCCCAGCATCCTCTTGGGACCCACTGGGCAGCTGAGAACAGAGGCACAGGGAGGGGCAGCCACCTCCCTGGACCTGGAACTAGCAGGAGTATGATCCGACCATGCACAGCTGTCTTTGGGCCCGTGGGTGCCAGCGGGGGCCAGGTTCTGGGTCCCCAAGCCTCCCATCTGGAGACAGAGCCAGCTCAGGTGGCTGAGACGCCCATGTGGGCATGAACGGCCAGTGGGCACAACCGGTCAGTGGTACAAGTGTGGACAACCCTCAGGGACTGAGTCAGGTTCTCAAGGAGGGCTCCACAGGACAGTACCAGTGGCCGGGGCCAGGCTCTGTCTGGGCTCCTGCCAGGCCGTGGCCTCCCCTCTGGGCCTCAGCACCCCCAGCAGGCCATGTTGCTCCATCTGGCTCCAGTCCAGGGGTGGCCTTGTTTCCCCTCTGTCAGGAAGCTCCGAGACCACCCAACCCCATTCCCTCCTGGAGGCTGGGCCTTGTGGTGCAGTGCCCAAGATGACCACTTGGGGGCAGCAGCCACCAGCCTTTCCCAGGAGCTGCCTGGAGGTTAAGGGCCACCCAGGTGGTGAGCTCTTGGCCCTCCTGTCCCTCCAGCAGGGCAGGTGCCAGCCTTTGTCCTGCTCAGGGGACAACCACATACAGGGGAACTACTGACACCCAGGTAATTCCGGCTTCGGGGCAGTTCTTGGGGAACTGGGGGTTGGGAGGGCCGGGACAAGGCCAGGGACTGGGTAGGACAGTGGAGTGACAGGCAGGGCCGTCCCTCAAACCATGGCATCTAACAAAACACCAAGCCTGAGCCTCAAGGGCCTGTGGCTTCCCCTCGCCCAGCCTGGGGCAGCAAGCACACGTGCCAGCACTGATGAGTGGGCAGGTCAGGCTCTGGCCAGCTCTGGCTGGGCAGTGCCCGCTGACTGACTGCACCAAGGCCTGGGGACAGTGCAGGAGCGTGTGGAAGCCCACCCAAAGGATTCAGATTGAATCCTTGCAACAGCCTCTCCTGAAGAAGAGGTCAGAAAGGGCATGGCACTCCTGGCAGCTCCGGGGCTGCCCTGGGACTGCAGGTCCCATCTGGGTGTCACCAGGCCCTTGCTGTGCCCCTGCCATTCACAGGGTCCTGGGCTCTGCCGTRGGCAGGCACAGGTAAGAGCCGCAGCAGGAAGACGCTGCATTAACAGAGGTAGAGTCTCCAAAAGAGGGGAGTGTTCTCCCTCTACCTGGTGTGCACTGGGTCTGCTCTGATGGCCCTATTGTGAGGGGATTTGGGCAGACTGAAGTGTCTTGGAGATGACAAAGAATCTGGATTCAGCGTCATATCCAGAGTGACTAAAAAAGTGACGACAGGGGACAAGGTAACAATCTGACTTGGATGGTGCCAGCAGAGGCAGGATGGCCAGGCTGCACCTCAGGCCCCGCCCCCCAGCTGGCCCCGCTGCAGACCCGCCCCAAGAGCTGCGAGACTCCTGCAGCTCCCAGGGTGAGCCTAGCCCCTTCCTTGGTCCAGTCTGACCCCACCTGCCCCCAGCCTCTTATCTGGCCCGGTTTCCTCCACCTGAGGGCTTTGCTCCTGCTGTGACCTCAACACACCTTCCCCACCCCACCTCCAGGGCTCTCGGCGGCCCTTCCCAGGAGAGTATGTAGTCCACCCGCCCCGGGGGCAGCCTGGACACCCGGTGCTGCAGGCTCCTCCTGGACAGCGGGACCCGGGGCCAGGGAAGGCCGCGTGCTGCACGCGGGGACTCGGAAGTGCGACCACACCACCAAGGTGGCCAGAGGGCCCCGCGTGCCGCTGACAGCCAGGCGCGCCCTTCCTGCGGCCAACTGTTCCCGCGGCCCGGGCTCCCTCCCGGGAGGCTTCCTGGAGGAGGCGGCCGCGAGAGCGACGCGGAAGGAAGCCTGCGACCCAGCGGAGCGCGGGGCGGGGGCGCAGCGCGTCACGTGGGCGGCCCAGGAGGGACGGCGACGCGGCCCGCGCGCGGCAGGTGCCCGGGCGCCCCGCCCGCCGAGCCCGCCCCGCCCGGCCGCACAGGAAGTGGGAGGGTCGCCGGGAGGAGCCGCCCCTCCGCCCGCCGCCTGCGCTCCCCGCCGCCCGCCGCCCGCCGGCCTCCGCCCCGCGGCGCAGGTGAGCCCGCCGGCAGGTGAGTCCGGAGGCCGCGCCCGGGCCGCCCGCGACCCTGCGCCCTCCGCGCGCCCGGCCCGCGACGACCCCGCGCAGCGCCCTCCGGCCCCGCCGCGCCCCGCCGCGCCCCGCCGCGCCGCTGCCCGGGCGGAAGGAAACGCCGGCGGCCAGGGAGCCGCCGGGGAGGCGGGAGGCGCCGGTGACCCTCCAGGAGCCCTGCTCTCGCCCGAGTTCAGAGGGGAGAACCCACCTCGGCAGCCGCCCGACGGTCAGCTCTGCTTCCCCGGGAAGGTGGGGAGGGTTGCCTCCCAAACTATGGGAACCGCGGGCACCTGTCTTAGCGGCCCTGCCTCCTTTCCTCGTCTGTGAAATGGGCACAGAGGTCCCTTGTGAGGTTGAGTGAGCGCTGGCCTCTGCGTGGCACCTGACAGGGGGAACTGGAATCAGCTGGTGGCTGCCCAGTCCCACCTGGAGCCCAGGCAGGTCTCTTCCTTGTGACCTTGTAAACAATCCAGGCACTACCCAAGGTGGAGGTTAGGGATGCCTTGAGGACAGACAGGCCAGGCCCTGAGTGGTCCCTGCAGCAGGACCTGGCTGGGACAAGCCGGAGGGTCCCAGGCAGCACCCGTCTCTGCCCTGCCGCCTCTGGTGTGGTGCCCAGCGTGTGTCCTGGGGTTAGGGTCCTGGCTGGGTGTGAACTAAGGCAAGTTATATAAGCCTCTGAGCCTCAGTTCCCTCCTCTGCGACATGGGGTGATAGGCAAGTCCCCTTCRAGGGCAGCAGCTGCAGAGGTCCTGTTCTGGGGACACATGCACCAGCTCCCGTGATCCCACAGCCTGGAGAAGGACGTGCCCGGGAGAGGTGCTGAGGGCTGAAAGCAGGCGCACCAGTCCTGCGGGGAGGCCAGAGTCTTGGGGGCTTCCTGGGAGGAACGTGGTCTAAGTCACCTGGAGGTGCCACSGGAGAACCGGGTGAGAGTGGTCAGGTACGCCTACCTGCTCCTCGCCCTCTGGGCATATCTGGGGAGACCTTTGCTGCCAGGGCGTCCCCAGGGCTCACATGAGCACCTAAGGGCAGTCCCTCTCCACCCTTCCGACGGGAAGCAGCCTGCTGGGGTCCCCGCCGCTGGCAGGGCCTGCTACCCCTGGGACCGCAGCCTGCCTTCATGTTTGGTGGAGCGACCACCCAGTCTGGGGGTTTTGGTTTCGGTTTCTTTCTGTCTGCTCAGCCTGGCCCTCCCTTGCTCAGGTGACCGTCCCTCTGCAGCATGGAGGACGGATCCAGAATCCCTGCTCACCAGGTTCCAGGTGAGAGACACCATCTAGGTCAGCCTGGGGCCTGGCTCCTCGCCTGACTCTCACTGACAGGAGGCCTGACCCAGGGGCTCAGGTTCCCGCTGCACTGGCTCCTCACCTGCCAGGGAGGGAGACACCCACCTTTCAGAAGCTGAGGAGGGGCCAACAGAGTGGGCGAGAGGACCACTGGAGGCACCGTCGGGCTAGCTGTTTTACGGCTGGTGACTGGGGCAGCAGGTGACCTGTCACCTGTCCAGATAGCAGTCAGGGTCAGGGCTCTGGTCCATCCTGTACCTTTGGGGTTCCCTCGGGGACCAGTCAAGCCTGGGCCGGGGCCTGGGTTTATGGGGGGTGGAGTTAAAGATGGGAACCACAGAGCCACAGCTGGGTGGCCACCGGCTGCGTCAGGCTCTGTGCAGAGCTGGGCTCTCCCACTGTGAAGGGTGACCCTCTACGCGGTCATGAGGGCTCTCTCCACCTCAGCACTGTGCCAGCTAAGGGTGTGGGGCTGCCCCCGGTACAGCAGGTGCCAGCAGCATCCCTGGCCTCAGCCCGCAGGTCCCAGACTGGTGACTACCTGCACAGCGTCTCCAGGCATTGCCAGGTCTCTCCTGGTGGGCAGAGCTGCTTCCCGCTGAGAGCTGCCGAGCCAGTGGAACCCGCTGGTGTGTGCTGTGGTTTACCAAGCCAATGCCTGTCCCTCAATCATGTGGGACTCCAAGTCCCAAGCTGGGCTGGGCAGAATTACCAAGCACAAGGGCATCATTGTGGGCTGACCAGGGTCGGGATGACATGGAGAGAGGCCAAGCCCCGTCGGATAGGGTGAGGGCAGCTGGACTCAGAGGCTGGGATAGAAGGACAGGGTGTCACACATTCACCCAACAATTCAGGATTTGAGCCCCACTTTGGGGGCCGGCTTGAACGGGAGGTTGCTCCCACCCCGCAAGGACTCACAGACTTGTAGGCCATCGGGGACAGGCAGCCAGACCACCTGAAGCTCTGGTGCAGTGTGTCTTTGTAAGGGCTTCACAAGGCTCCCCGCTCAGAGTCCAGGCTGCCTTGCTGGGGAGCAGCTCTGCCTGGGACCCCCAGGTGGCCTCTGCACGGCATATGGCCTCTCTGGGAAATAAGTCTTGCAGACTGTGTGGCCAGCTTCTGCTTGGAAGGCAGCTGGAAGGAGGGTCTGAGCTCTTGGCTCCTGAGTCGGACATCCCGAAGGAGTCCGCTGGACGCAGACATGGGGATAGGACCGGGTGCCAGAAAGTACTGCAGAACATGGGCTCTCAGGTGTGTGCACTGAGCACATTACCTCCCACCAGCCTCTTCCCTAAAAGGAAGCAGAAGCTGCAGCAGATGTTTGAGGACAGCCTCGTGCATGAGTATCTGAGACACAGGAGGAGAGCATAGGTACAGGAACTGAGCTCTAGCCGCCAGCTAACAGAAGAAAATGTGTTCAAAAGAAAAAGTGATCCTGTCCTCTATGTAAATGGAAGACATTATATCCATAAAACAAGAACAGGGTGCTATGAATAAAGAGTAACGAGAAGGCAGAAGAGAGATCTCTGGAGGACATGGAAACAATATGGACGATTAAATAGAGGGATTTTCCCAAAAGGAGAACAAAGAGATGGAAAAAGTAAAAGAGAGACAAGAAACAGGGAGAACATTTCAGAGGTTTCAGTACTGTGAATCACATGTGGCCAGCCCTGCCTGCTCACCTTTAGGGAGGGGTCCCGGCAGAGGCTCAGCACCAGAGGCCGGGGGCAGGCGGAGTAGAGCAGGCTGGGGCTGGGAGCTGCTCTGCTCGGCGGCTCTCGGGTGTGTGCTGGTCTTCCTGGGGCCCTGAGAGAGAGAGAAACAAGATGAGAAATCACATGCAGCCCCAAACAGGGGACGCTGACCGACCGGAAGTTCCCCCGGGCACCTAACTCAGTGAATGAATGGGGGGTCCCAAACCCTTCACAGGGCTGGGGTGGAGAGAAGCACAGGCCACAGTTCAACAAGAGAAATTAGAAGGGGGTTGGGATGCTCCACCGGCAGCAAAGACAAGGGAAGGGAGCTCCATGATTCTGGAAGAAAATAACCTCCCACGGGAGTCTCTGGGCTCACGTCSCTCCAGCCAGGGGAGGGCAGAAGGAAGACCTGCACGTCCTCAGGCCACCAGAAATCTGCTGCCTAAGCTGCCTCCTGGGACAGCGCCTGGATGTGCTTTGGCACAGCCAGGGAGGAGGCCTGGGGCCAAGTGTCCCGTGCTGGGGAGAGGTCAGGGGAGGCCCGGGGTCACCTGGAGGCCTGCAGGGTACCCGGCCGCGAGGGGCTGCTGCCGTCAGGAAGCACCGGTAGTGACCCTGGCACTCACCAAGAGGAGCAGGGACAGGGCCTGGAGAGGGGTCATTGTCCAGGCAGGCCGGGGCCCGGCGCTGTGCGGCTGAGCAGGCCAAGTCCACATCTGGGCAGGGCTGGGGCTGGGGACCAGCTGAAGGGCCCACAGTGGTGGCCTCTGGAGATGGGCGGCAGGGGGACACGGGACAGGCTCAGAAGGCATCCGGTGCRATCTGGTTTGGAGACAGGTGCGTGTAGCTCTTCCGTGTAGCGGAGACTAAGCACAGAAGCCGCAGYAGTGCAGGGACAGGTGGCCATCCCCTGGGGGCCCTGCTGTGCTTTTACCCTGGGTCCCAAGCAGGCAGCGCCCCAGGCCTGAGGGTGTGGCRCCTTGCTCACCTGACAGGCTCCCTGGGGCAGCTTCTGGACCTGGAGTGGACTTTACCCTCTCTTGGGAGGGGCTGCCACTCTCTGGGGATGGTGCTGCTAGAGGCCACCCGCCTGCCAGATCTGGGCACCGCTCAGAAAGCTGACAGACATCTGTGTGGTGGGTGACGGGGCCAGTAAAGACTCTTTGGTGCCTCCTGCCCCTCGTGGCCATGAGGAAGGCCCGGGTCCTGTCTATGGTCAAGGACCACACAGGGCGTTAGTGCCTCGGCCGCATACCCTGGGGCACTGATGAAAGTCCAGAATAAACCGCTTTTCCACCGGTGGCTGAGTCCAGGCAGGTTAACCTGGGCGTGTGATCCTGGGACACCCTGCCCAGGTCTGCCCCTCATCACGCACCAGGGAAGTCACCAGCTCTGGGGGAGGCCAGGCTGCAGGGAGGCCGGGAATGCTCTGAGGAATGTGCCCGCCCTCCCGGGCAGCCAGGGCTCCCACGGCCACCCCTCCCCTCGCTGGGGCCCGGGAGCTCCCAGCACTGGCTCCCTGGGTGGTTTAAGTAGAGAACTTGTGTCCTGGGAGGGGTGGTGGCTTCTGGAGCTGTGGGGACAGCCAGCTTCCTGGCGTCCTGCAGTTGCGTCAGCCTGTGGCCAGCTCTGCCCTGCCGCCCATCAGGGAGGGGTCCCCCCGAGGCTGAGCAGCCTGGCCACAGCAGACGGTGGCCGTGTGGGATGTGGCTCTGGGCCGCAGCAGACGGTGGCCGTGTGGGATGTGGCTCTGGCTGCGCCGTCTTCCTGGAGCCCAGGGAGCTCACCGTCTGCACCTCTGGCTGTGACCTCCCCTGGGAAGGAGGTGCTGCTGGCCTCCCCGGGCAGCCCTCCTCTCCAGAGGCATGGGCAGATGGCAGGGGACATCCCAGCCCAGTTCTGAACCCAGAGTTCCACCTACAGCGTGGGCGGAGGACCGCGCCTCGTCTTCCCACCTGGACTCCAGGCGGCTGCCCTCAGTGACTCTGGGCATTAATTTTCACACTCGAGGCTCTGGACAGGGGGTCCTCTGGGTGGAGGCTTCTTGGTTTGTTTTGTTTTTGAATTAAAGGGACCTGGTTAGAGCCGTGACGTCTCCACGTGGCCTTTGGATCCTCAGGCCTCCCAGGCGGGGGCCTCCTACTGTTGGTGTCGTGTGGGGAGCTGGCACGTCCATGCAGCCTGTTGAACAGCCCCGTCCACCTCGGTGCCCGCAGGTGGGAGCAGCCCTGCGGTGCCCGTGTGCAGGCTTCGGAGCTGAGGAGAGGCAGTGTCCTGGGCCCTGAGGACTCGGGGTTTCCAGGCCTCTGCAGGGTGGGCCCTGTGCAGGGGGAACGGGTGGAGAGCAGGCCCTCTGAGTGCATGGTCAGTGGCCCGAGGCGGCCTGGCCTGGCCCGACCTGCCCAGGCATGAGGGCCCACCTGGCTGCCTGTGCACCGACCCTCAGGCGAGCCTCACACAGCGTCCACATGGGCCTTCCGGCTCCTCCTGCTTCTGGGTCAGTCGGCACCACACGTCTTGGCCACCAGGGTCTCAGGCCACTGGGGCTCCACCTGGACATGCTCCATGCTCCTGGGTCCAGGGCTGTGAGTTTGCCCCTGAGTGGTGTGTGTCCCGTCTAACCACGTCCCTCCTCACTGGCCAAAGCCAGTCTTGGGACTGTGTTGTTCCCAAGTGGGTAGAAGGTGGCCCTGCCTTGTGCCCAGAGAAGGACGAGGGCCGGGCCAGGGACCAGCACCCGTGGCGGCATCGAGCCTGTGCTTCCCATTGCCGCGGGAGCTGCTGGGCCAGGGCTGGAGGATGACAGGCAGGTCAGGGACGAGAGAGGACAGAGGGATGGAGGGGCTGGGAGGACGTGAGCTGCCAGGAGGGACAGGCCAGCGCGTCCCGGGGAGGGACATGCCGTCCAGCCTCAGGCTCTCGGCTCCTGGGGCTTCTGCCCGGGGACAGGAGGTGTGAGTCCTGGGCTGTGTCCCCGGCTCTTGGGCTCGTGCCCAACTCCTGTGCCTGGGGTCACCCGCCTCTCTGCCATCAGAAACGTGGGACGGCAGAGCCCGTGGCCTGTGTGGCAGGGGCTCGTGGACGTCCAGCCTGGCTGCAGGGTGGGAGGCGGCCGTCACAGGTCTGGCCTGGTGCTGGTTCTGTGCAGCAGGGTGTGTCCCAGGCAGGTCCTGGGGGCGCTGAGCCAGGTGGGGCAGTGCCACTGCCACGCAGCCTCGGAGCGGCTCCCAGGATGAGCTGTCCTAGGTCCMCCATGTGGAAGTGGCCCCGGGAGGCGCAGTGGCCATGCCACCAGGTGTCCCAAGCAGCAGTGAGGGCTGAGCCAGGTTCTAATCCTGGTCTGTGGGGGTCCCCAGGGCCCATGTACCCAGAACGCACCAGGTCGGGACTTGGTCTGTGCTGCGTCAGAGGACACAGGGTGGACTCCAGGTCTTCCCTCCACCACGGAGCCTGGCCCAGCCTCCATCCTGATAAGCCCCTGAACAGGAGCCGGTGTGAGGCTGTCCCCGCCTCCGTGCAGGCCCCCAGGGGTCCTGGGGACTGGACCTGCCGATGACCTGCCCTGCTCCGCTCTAACCTGCGGCACTGCCCCCTCTGGCCCCCACCCTGCCCCTGCTGCCCCCTGGGGCTGCACCCGGGCTCTGGCGCATCGGGCAGATGCTCAGGCGTGGGAGGGCTGACCCCCCAGAGGCCTGGGGAGGGAGGCCCTGCTGACCCTTCTCTGCACTCCACCCCAGGACCCGTGGCCGCCCAGCATGTCCCAGCGGCACTCGGACGGCGCTCTGGAGGAGAAACTGCTGGAACACCGCTTCCACTCCGAGCTGCGGCTGGACGCCCAGGGGAACCCCGCGTCCCAGCTCCCTATAGTCCGCGGCTCCCTGAGGTCCAGGACCAATGCTGCCTTCGAGCCCGAGGCCTCGTCGCCCTCAGGGGACCAGGAACCCCCACCCATCGTCCTCAGCACCCAGAGCCCCGCAGCCCTCAAGAAGGGCACCCAGCAGATGATCCCCAGGAACCTGGCCGTGGCCAGCAGGGCCAAGGCCCCAGCCCGTCACCAGAGCTTTGGGGCAGCTATGCTTAGCAAGGAGGCCGCACGGAGGGACCCCCAGCTCCTCTCGGTCCCCAGCTTCTCCGTGGACGACATGGACGTGGACGTGGGCCCCGTGGGGATGCTGAAGCGAAACCTGCGGAACCAATCCTACCGGGCGGCCATGAAGGGCCTGGAGGCTCCCCGCAGCAAAGAGGACGCCCTCCATCTCAGCCCCAAGCTCCAGGCTCTGGCCGAGGAGTCCAGCCAGCCTCCCGCCCGGGGCCAGGCCAAAAATAAGGTAGGGGCCTGCCTCCCAGGCGGGCAGGATGGGAGGTGCCCTCAGGGCTCAGGCGCCCACAGACAGGAAGGTGGCCTGACCCTCTAGCCCCCCTCGCCTGCACCCACATCTGCGTCACTGAGAGCCTACGGTGTGCCGGCTCTGGACAAGCTCACTGAGCCGAGACCTGTGGTCAGGCCCTCAGCGTGAACGTCCTGTCCTGTCAGGCAGCGGAGCCGCCAAGGCTGGTGGTTTTGCCAGGTCTCAGGCTGTAGCGTCCCTCCTCCCACCCAGGGTGGGCAGCAGAGGCCCCAAGGGACCCACCCCCTCTGAACCTGGCAGTTGCCCCCTGTCTGATGGCTCTGTAACAGCGACCACCCTGGCRCAGGCCGCCTGCGGCCCCGACATCCTCAGCCTGACCCTGCTGCTGCTCCCCCACCCCTGCCTGCCTCAGTGGCCCTGGGCCAACAGCACACACTCCCTGGACGCTGGTGTGGCCAGGCTGCTCAGGTCACTGAGGCCCCGGGGGACAGAGGGACCTGAGGGGCTCCTGGACCCATATCCCTTGCCCTTGGTGTCATCGTTCCCCGGCGGCTGGAGGACCAGGCTTCGGCTGCAGGCAGCCACAGAGCAGGACGCGTGCTCTGGCCGAGCTGCCCTGGCCCTGACCCGGCTCTGAGGGCCTCCCGAGCCCGCTGCCCGGCTGCTTGGTCTGCTCACCGGGGCGGGGTCGGGAGGGGCCTCTCCGTTCTCGAGATGGCTGACTCAGCTCTCCCCGTGCAGAACAGGGGTCTGTCCTGGCTGGTGCTTTGCTCCGCCTTGTCCAGAAGCAGACCCAGGCTCAGGGGCAGGCAGGCCTTTGTGAATGTCCTGGGGTGGGGCTCTGCCGCGGTGTGGCCTCAAGCAAGTGGAGCAAGTTCCTGGGCCTCCTGGGCCTCGGCACCCGTGTGTCAGCGGAGGGGACAGCCCTCCTCTGTGGCGTGCTCCAGAGAGCAGCATGCAGCATGTGGGCGCGAGGAGCAGGCTCCGTGTCCGTGGGAAGGCTACGTGCGCTCAGGGGCATCTGCTCCCGGCTGCAGCCCCAGAAGCCGAGACCACCTGTCAGAGCAGTAGCCGCCACCAGCCTCCCCTGTGGGCCCGTGGTGGCCGAGGCAGGTCCTCGTGCTCCCAGAGCCAGCCACGGTCCTCCCTCACAGCCACCCCTGCTGTGCCTCCAAGGTGGACAGACCCCAGACCCTGCGGGACCTCTGCAGGGGTTGCTCTGGCCACGGTCGGTGCTCCTGGGGCACACTGTGTGCCCCCACACAGTCCCCAGACCCACATGATGTGTCCCACACTGTCCCCCGGCCCCTACTCTGTGCCCCCCCACACTCACTGCCCCTTACCCTCTGTCCCCCACATGTCCCTACGCTGTCCTCAGGCCCCGCATGCAGGGGCCTCTTCATCTGCTCACCGTGGCCCGCCCCAGACCCTCTTCCTGAGGACCCACCACTGTTGGGGCTCCCAGCGAGCTCTGCAAGCTCCGTCCCTGGCCCTGTCCAGTTTCCAGGACAGAGGGGCCGCAGTGAGACCCCCAGGGCTGGTAGGGGCTGCGGGAGCACAGGAGGGCTAGAGCAGTTAGGAGGGCCTGGGGGGACAGGAGGAGGGACAGGGGAGGCCCGGGCGGGAGGAGCAGGCCGGGAGTACCACGCCCCACRGTAGGGGGCTTTCTGAGGACCCAGAGACCAGCTGGCTTCCCTGGAACCGTGCACCTGTGAGACCCTGTGTCCCTGCAGAAGCGTGGGCTCTGAGGGGCAGCTGGGCGGGCACTCCCTAAGAGCCTTGTCCCCCGGTCACCTCTGCCATCCCTCCTTTGGCTCCTGGGGTTCTGGCCAATTCCAGTCCTGCTCTTCCTGCCACACCAGGTCCTCTTCTCCAAGGCCTGGGACAGCCCAGGTCCCACCCCACCCTCTGCTCCTGCTCTGCCCTCTGCCAGCCACTCCTGTCCACCTCGGCTTCCCACAGTCACCCTGGGCTCCCAGCCTGCCCACCTCGGCTCCCCTCCGTCCCCCCTGGGCTCCCAGCCTGCCCACCTCGGCTCCCCTCTGTCCCCCCTGGGCTTCACCCTGCCCACCTTGGCTCCCCTCCGTCCCCTGGGCTCCACCCTGCCCACCTTGGCTCCCCTTTGTCCCCCCTGGGCTTCACCCTGCCCACCCTCTGTCCCTAGCATGGGGCTAGCTCAGCCCTTCCCACAGGCAGTCCTCCTGGATCTGCCGGTCCAGGCCTCGGCTTGGTTGCTTGACCTTGCAGGTCTCAGCTGCTTCCCTCCGCCGGGCGCCCAGCCTGCCCACCTCGGCTCCCCTCTGTCCCCCCTGGGCTCCCAGCCTGCCCACCTCGGCTCCCCTCTGTCCCCCCTGGGCTCCACCCCTGTCCACCTCAGCTCCCCTCTGTCCCCCCTGGGCTTCACCCCTGGCTACCTTGGCTCCCCTCCGTCCCCTGGGCACCCAGCCTGCCCACCTCGGCTCCCCTCTGGGCGCCTGCCCCTGGCCACCTCGGCTCCCCTCCGTCCCCCTGGGCTTCACCCCTGCCCACCTCTGCTCCACTCTGTCCCCTGGGTGCCCACCCCTGCCCACCTTGGCTCCCCTCCATCCCCCGGGCACCCAGCTCTCCATGCCCTCTGTCCCTAGCATGGGGCTAGCTCAGCCCTTCCCACAGGCAGTCCTCCTGGATCTGCCGGTCCAGGCCTCGGCTTGGTTGCTTGACCTTGCAGGTCTCGCCCAGATCTCTGGGTCCCCAGAACAGAGTCCCTGTGACCCGCCCTCCCCTTCCCTGCTGACTGGGGTGTCCCCTCTCTTGCCAGAGGACTCTGGGTCGGAAACGAGCGCATAAGGGCTCCTTCAAGGATGGTAAGTGGCCCTGAGGCAGCTGGGGGCTGGGCCCTGCCAGCTAGAGCCAGACTTACTGGGACTTTCCTGGGCTGGTCGGGGTGGCTCTGGTTTGATGGCTCAGAGGGGACACCAGGCCAGAGACGGAGGTCCTAGGGCTGATGTGACTGTGCCACCTGATGGATCCACAAAGTCCCGAGGACAGGACAGGACAGCCCCACACTCACCCAAGCACCCCACCCAGCCAAATCAGAGGGCACCAGCCCTGCCAGGCACAGACTCTGCCCGCTGGGATCTGTGAGGTCTGAGGGCGGCCCTGGTGGGTGTCAGGGCTAAGGAGGGGGGTGATGGCTGGTGCTTTGCCTGCTCTGCTGAGAGAGTGAGGCCCAGCAAAGATAGGGGCCTAGGAGCCCCAGGCCCAGTGGCCCCCCAGGAATTCTACCCCCCAGCCCCTGGAAGCTTTGTGGATGGCCATAGCCTGGGAGCAAGGACCTGGGCCTCCTGTGTGATCACCTGGGGAAAGATGGTCCCCAGGAGAGCAGCAGCAGTGCCCGGGCCTCAGGGCGAGTTGATGGCAGCAGCCTGAGCTGGGAAACAGCCTGGCCATGTGGGCGTGCGGTGTAGACAGGCGCTGGGAACAGCACCTAGCACCCCAGGCCCAGCCTGCCCCCCAGGCCAGGCCCGGCAGACCCTGCAGAGCTCCCATTTGTCAGCTGGCCCCTGGCCCAGAGGTGCCACATTCCACACCAGGCTGCCACCTGCCTCCAGGGCCGTCCCGCTAGGCATGGGAGCCAGCTGGCCAGAGGGAGGCCTGTCTTGAGAGCCCACTGCCTGATGCTCTCAGGGGAGCTGGGGGGTCCAGGGGAGGGCTTGGCCCGCTCCCAGCCCCCAGGCACAGGGGTAACTCCGCTCCCCTCTCCAGACCCCGGGTTTTACCAGGAGATCCGGGAGCGGGGTCTGAACACCACCCACGAGTCCGACGATGACCTCCTGGACGAACCCTCCAGCCCTGGGGGCACCCGGAGGGTGGACACCACCATCGTGGTCAAGAGTTACCGGCCTGCCCAGATCACCTGGAGCCAGCTCCCAGAGGTAGGGCCAGGGCGGGCCGAGCYGGGTGGCTGCAGGAGGTCCCCTGGCATTTCCCGCTCCAGCCAGGACGGCCAGGTCTTCACAGGCAGGTGGGGCAGGTCCCCTGCTGTGCCAGGCCCACCAGGGGCTCCGGAGCCTTGAGCTGTCCTTTCCATGAGGGCTCCTTGGGGGTGGTCACTGGGGGAGGAGAGTACTTGGGGACAGCTAGCTTGTCTTCTGTCATCATGCGTGAGGGGGGCATCCTGCCGGGACTGACCTGCAGGGCACAGGGGCCAGTCCTGCTGGGAGAGCCCTCCAGGGCTGAGTAAGGAAGTGGCTAGGGACGGGGCAGCCAGGGCCGGGAGCAGGCCAGGCCATCCCCTCCCACGTCCGACGTCCCTGCTCCGCGGGGCCCTGGGCTCATTGGAGAGCAGGCCCAGGAAGTGGTCTTGAGGCATGAGGGGTGCTGGAGGCAGAGCTGGCCGCTGTGGACAGGCTCATGAGCCTGGTCCCCCAGGGCTCTGGGTGTGGTGGCTGTGGGAGGGTGGGCCTGGCTTCCCTCCTCTCAGAACAGTGGGCTTTCTGTTTGCCGTCCCTGTGGGGGACCTTCGGTGCCTGCTGTGGGCCCCCCTGGGTGGGGCCGCCACGCTGCACCCAGCAGCACGGCCGGATACCCAGACCAGGCTGGGCAGGAGGGGGCATGGGGCCCGGGCACTGTCGATGGCCTCTGCCCAGCCCCGTGGGAGGAGAGTACCAATCAGGGCGGCCCTGGTCCTGAGAGGCAGTACCTCAGGCCGGGTGGCAGGCCACCTGTCCTGGCATGCTGGTAGGGACAGGGTGTGCCGTGACTTGAGGGAGCCAAGGCAGCCGGAGCCGTGGCCCTGAGGGCGGAGCTCCTGTGGCCCCCCTCAGTCTCCGCCTTCCCCTGGCGGCCCCTCCCCTGGGCTCTGCCCCTCTCCCCAGCTCAGGTGCTTAGGAGAAGCCTGCCCGCTTGGCCACCCCCTGGTGACCCCGGTGGCTCTCAGGGGCTGTGCCTGCCCCAGGACGGTGTCCAGAAAGGAAGAGGGGGTGAGGGGCGTGCTCGGCTCTGAGCTGGGCACAGGTGGCTGCGGGCGTTTCGGTGGGGTGACTGTCCCAGCGCCCACCCTCCCTGGCCTGTGGTCCAGGGCGAGGACAGAGTGGGGACTTTGGCTCCAGCCTCCAGGAGGTGCAGCCTGGCTCCCCACGCTGTGCCCCCCAGGTGGTAGAGTCGGGCCTGCTGGACAGCCTGTCCACGGAGGAGCGCAAAAGGCAGGAGGTAAGGCCGAGGGTGCTGCCCACCCCCTGTGGGCCACCCAACACCCTGGGGAGAGCCACGGAGATGTTCACCCCCATGGGCCACCTCCAGGCCAGGCACGGTCAGCCCCTCAGGTCAGCTCATGGTCCTCGGGCTTGGACGAGGATGGGAGCCCTGGACTGTTTCACGTAGCTCACAAGTRGCCGCACCAGAAGGCAGACCCGGGGAAGTCCCTCGCAGCTGGGGAAGGCTGTCCTGCCGGCCCTGTCCAGCGTGTCACCCAGGGCCCTGCCCCACCTGCCCCTCCTCCACCCCGTCCTCAGTGGCACACTCCTCCAGGCGGGCAGCTCACCGTCCACTCCCCCCACAGGCCATCTTCGAGATCCTCACGTCCGAGTTCTCCTACCTGCACAGCCTGGGCATCCTGGTGGCCGAGTTCCTGCAGTCCAGGGAGCTGCGGGCAACCATGACCCAGACCGAGCACCACCACCTCTTCTCCAACATCCTGGACGTGCTGGCCGCCAGCCAGAAGTGAGACCTGACTCAGCCGCCCACAGTGGGCCATGGCTTGCGCCACCCACACACCCAGGTCCCTGGGAAGGCCACCTTGCCCTAGCTGGTCATCACTGTGAGGCCGGCTGAGGCGGTTGAAACCTGGCCTGTGACCCTGGGGCTGTTTGAGTGGCCACTGGCTGGTAGAGCTGAAGCTCTGTGGGCCCGTGAGGCCCCTGAGAGCTGACCCTGGGGACAGCAGGGTGGTGGGAGTCCTAGACTCACACCAGCTGGGGCACCCCTAGGGCACAGCCCGGGCCCACGCCGTGCCGGTTCCCCTGCGTGCTGGGCACGGAAGGCTTCCGAGAGCGTGTGCCGAGGTCTGCAGGACACAGGCAGCAGTGCCCATGGTGCCCGGCCTCCGGCAGCCTCGAGTTGCAGCCCCAGGTCGGGTTCTGTCCAGGAGTGTCTGGTGGCCAGGCTGGGCTCTGGTTGCAAGGCCTGGGCAGGGAGGGCCAGCCGTGCAGGCTCAGGCCCATGGTAGGGTGTGTGCGTGACCACATGGAACCCCTCAGAGGCCGGCCCGGCCCAGGAGACCCTGGGCCTCCTCCCACTCTCTGCCCTCAGGCTGGTTGACCTGGTGGGTGGGTGGTCAGGTGAGCCTCGGTTGTGTGGTTCCCGCTGGGCCTTGGAAATGGCTGCTGACCCCGTCGAGTCAGAGCCAGCCTGGACTTCCTGAGCCCCACGCAGAGCCTGCTGCCTGGAGCCACCCTCCCCCACAAGGAGTTTCAGGGGGTCAGAGAGCAGGCACTGGCCTGTCCCTGGAGACGGGGACTTCCTGTAGAGCGTCCGTGATGCTGTGGGAACCTCCAGCCCCAACTCGGCAGGGGGGAGGCAGGCTGTCTGGGTGGCAGCTGACCCCCACCCCCAGGCCGACTCCTGTCCCCCAGGGCAGCCCTCTCTGTGAGGCAGCATCGTGTTTACTTCTGGCCTCTGAAGGCTTTGGACTGGCCATTGCTGGGATGGAACTCCCTGGCCACCTCCCCCGGCCACTCACAGTAGCCTCCCCTGGAATTCGGCACTATTGGGGGTCAGTGTCTGAGGGCCGCGTCTCCCAGACCTCGCTGAAGCGTCCCAGCTGACTGGCCCGCCTCACCCAGGCAGCAGGGCTCCTTAGGGTCACCACCCGCTCACCTGGGGCCATCTGCTCCTGACCCACTGTCCTCTCTGCCCGGCCTCCCTGGGCCATGCCTCCTGAGGGTTCCTGCTCATGGGAAGTGAGGTCCCTGAGTGAGTGGAGGGTCTGGCTGGCCACATTCAACCAGGAGGGGGCTTCTCAGATGAACAGAGGTCTGGTGGGGAGGGGACACCCCACTCCTTGGCCAGGGCATGAAGCGGTGGACAGGGCTCAGGGTCTGGCACTGTGAGCATCCAGAGGATGGACTGAAGGCCCCACAGGCCAGGCAGCCATCACAGGTCCAGCCGAACCCAGGGTGGGACAGGGGCCGAGTGACAGCAGATGAGCTCGGCTTCATTACCCTGGGCCAGGGTCTGCCTCATGGAGGAGGTCAGGGGCTGGAGGTCACTTCCCAGGAGTCTTTCAGGAGCCCAAGTGTGCCCCCTGCTATGCCCTGGGCTGCCCACTTAGAACAGGGTGTCCATGAAGGCAGACCGTGTCGGAAGCCTGATGCACACACCCCCAAGCGGCCTCCAGCCAAGTTAGGGAGCTTGGCTGGCGGAGCTGCCCTGATGTAGGACCTGTCCTGGGGGAGGTGGCCTGCCTTGTCCCTCCAGGCTCCACGCGCAGCCCCTCTGTGTGCCCAGGGGGCTGGACGCTGTGTCTCTGTTGCTTATTCCCAAGGGCAGGCCCAGGGCTGCAGGTGCTCAGGGAGCGGCCCAGGGAGGCCCGTGAGGGGCTGGTGTGTCCTGGGCTCCCCGGGCAGGGCTGAAAGCCTCGCCGCAGGACACCCGGCTCTCCACCTCGGCCCGTCGGGCTGGGGGTCTGGCCTGCTGAGCAGCCTGCGTGTGCACACGGTGTGTGTGCCCCTCTGTGTGCCTGTGCTCGTCCATGTTGCTTGTGTTCACGGGGTGGCCGACCAAGATGGGCCCTCCGCCCTGCCTCCCTCTGAAGGTTCTTTGAGGCCCTGGAGCAGCGACATAAGGCACAGGTGTGCGTGGAGGACATCAGTGACATCCTGGAGGAGCACGCCGAGCAGCACTTCCACCCCTACGTCGCCTACTGCTCCAACGAGGTCTACCAGCAGCGCACCCTGCAGAGGCTGACGTGAGTGGCCGCCCCGTCTGGACAGACTGCCAGGCTCCTGCCKGCCCCTGGAGGGACAGCTGTGTCCTCTGTTGCAGAAGCAGCAACAGCTCCTTCCGCGAGGTCCTGCGGGAGATCGAGAAGAAGCCGGCGTGCGGGGGCCTGCCCATGATCTCCTTCCTCATCCTCCCCATGCAGAGGGTGACCCGGCTGCCACTCCTGACGGACGTGAGTGTACAGCCAGGCCAGCCGGCGGGGAGATGGCCTGGGCACAGCTGTCCCCTCGCCCGTGGGAACCCACCCCACACCCCTCCTCCACACTTGCTGGTCTGCATTAATTGGTCAGTTACGACAGCGGTTACCAGATGGTGTGAACCGTCAGGGTCACATGCGGTCGGCACCCTGATCACCACCACCCAGAGAGCACACATGTGCCACCTGCTGCACAAGGACCCAGCTGAGCCCCACCGGCTGTACACCGAGTGCTCAGAGAGGTGTCCACTGAGGCGTGGCACCTCAGACTCTTGGGCCCCTGGACGTGTAAAACCGGGCCTCCGGGGGCTGCTCCCCAGGCTGGGGGAGATGGCCTTGGGTGGGAAGGGGTGGTGTGAGGTTCCACTCCTCCCATCCGCCTGGCTTGCTGAGCCCCAGGGCCTGGGGTCACCTGGGGGCTGTGTACATCAGTAGGGACCCTTGGGAGCCCTCGACCCCCCTGCAGCCCACCCAGGCTCTGGAATAGGGGAGCCCTCCCTTCTTGCAGACCCCCAGAAGGGCCCTGGCATCTGGTGTCTTCCTCAGACGCTGTGCCTCAAGACCCAAGGCCACCCTGAAAGATACAAGGCCGCCAGCCGGGCACTAAAGGCCATCAGCAAGGTGAGGGGTCAGGGCAGGGACTGCCCCCACCCCACCTGGTGGCACAGACCCTGGGGCAGCGTGGGGCGGGGGGTCCTCCGTCCCGAGCTCTTCATAGAACTGTGGAGACACTGAGGCCTGGGGCCAGGGGACTTGCCCACAGGTCAGTGAGACCCCAAGACGAACCAGGCCCACCCAGCGCCACCAGAAGGGGAGGGTGGGCCTCGAGAGCTGCAGAGCCAGGCGTGGAGGGCAGCCTGACCCCACCTGCTGACYGCCGGCCTCTCCTGCAGCTGGTGAGGCAGTGCAACGAGGGGGCCCACACCATGCAGCGCACGGAGCAGATGTACACGCTGCACACGCAGCTGGACTTCAGCAAGGTCAAGGTAGGGGCTGCCCCAGACGCCCTCAGACCCCTGCGCACCCCAGGCCCCTCTCCCTGCTGCCGTCCGCCTGGGGTCAGGGGTCCAACCTGTGGGGCCTGGCCTGAGGGACCTGGGGCCTGTGCCCGTCCCTGTCCCTGGGGCAGTTTCCCTGTGGGAGCTTGTCACCACCCCCTCAGCTCGCAGCACTCCTCCGACCCCAGTGGGCAGCAGGCCTGGCCTGTGGCTGTTCCTGGGCCAGGCTCCCTGCTGGCCACACTGAGGACAGGGGGGCAGGAGTGGCCAGAGGCCAGCCCAGACCTGATTCCCATGGGGCTTGCATTCTGGGGAGGGGGCAGATATCACCATCCTGGGCCTGGACAGCCTCCCCAGGAGGCAGGACTCAGATCCAGGCCTCCACAGACCACCCCTGAACACCCACAGCTGGCCTCACCCCTGTATTGCCCAGGCTCAGCAGCCACCCCCCAGAGTGGACCTGTGTGGGCCTCTGGTCCTGGTGTTCTGTCCACTTGGCACCCCTTTGTCCATTCAGAGGGGCCCTAGTTTGGGTGATAAGCCACAGGCCCCCAGGTCAGGACATGCAGTGGAGCCTCGGAGGTCCTGACCAGGGCAGCAGGCTCCTGGGCTGGTTGGGGTGGACTTTGTGGAGGAGGCGTCCGGTGATGCTGCCCTTCATGTGCTCGGCTCCTGATCCTGTCACGTTTGGGCCACGGCTCACCCAGCCTCAGCAAGATCCTGGTCCCAGGCCTGGCTGACCCCGAGTGGGGCTCTCCCCCAGCCTGGTCTTGAAGCCAGCACTGCCATGGGCCTGGGGTGGGGAGGGCAGGTTGGTCCAGGTAGGGGACGCGTGGCCCAGGCCCAGAGGTGGGAGTCGCTGGCGCGTCTTTGGGTGTCCAGGAGGAGAGCATTTGGATGGGGGTGGGAGCCAGCCCGGGAGCGGGGCCCCCAGCCCAGCAGAGCCCCATCTTCCTGCCCCCTCTTATTTGGGTCCTTTGGTCCCCATCCCTCTCCACCAGCTTGGCCCCAGGCCCCCAGGGTGGGAGGCAGCTCTGTTGCTGAGTCAAGGTCAGCACCAGGTACTAGCATGTGGCCATCCCAAGCTGGCCCCCGACCAGGCCTCATGCCAGGGGCACAGGATGGTATAGATGCCATCAGCTTTGCCACTCCGGGATGAGRTGGTGTGCGCCCTCCCTGGGACTGGTCTCTGTCCCCAGTGCAGGCTGAACGTTGAGCCAGTGCCCAGTGGGCATGACTGGAGGTTGCATGGGGCCATCCTGCCAGTGCAGCACCTGTCGGTCAACTGGTCAGCCCTGATCCAAGGCCCAGGGACCTCTCCCCCCAGCCTGCCCAGCCTCCATGGGGCAGCCAGCTGGACAGCCGATTGCCCCCCACCCCACACTACCCGTCGGTCCCCGCAGGGGCCTTGTTCATCTGTCCTCTCTGCCCCTAGTCCCTCCCCCTGATCTCCGCCTCCCGCTGGCTGCTGAAGCGCGGGGAGCTGTTCCTGGTGGAGGAGACGGGCCTTTTCAGGAAGCTCGCCAGCCGGCCCACGTGCTACCTGTTCCTGTTCAGCGACGTCCTGGTGGTCACCAAGAAGAAGAGGTGGGCCTGGCCATGAGCCTTGGGTGTCGGGAACGACAGGGGTGAGAGGACCCAGAAGAGGTGGGGCCGGGGAATGGCGGGAGCCAGAAGGACGAGGGCAGCCGAGCCCCAGGCTCGAGGCTCAGCACTGCTGCACGCGAGGTGGGGTGGCTGCCCCGGGCAGGGCTCCAAGGCTGCGGCCTCTCAGCTCAGGGGAGGGAGGGAGCCCTCGGCGTGTCCGTGGGAGCCCAGCCCAGCTGTTGCAGGGCAGCCCTGACTGCCCGTGTCCCACAGCGAGGACAGCTACGTGGTCCAGGATTATGCCCAGATGGACCACCTCCAGGTCCGCAAGCTGGAGCCCTCGGAGGCCTCTCTGCCTGGGGGTGGCAACCGCAGCTCCTCCGTGCCGCACCCCTTCCAGGTGACCCTGCTGCGCAACAGTGAGGGCCGCCAGGAGCAGATCCTGCTGTCCTCGGACTCCGCGTAAGACTAGGGGGCTTCCTGGGGAGGGGTGGCCTGAGGTCCACACCTGTAGGCGTTGTCTCACAGCCCGCCACGCGGTGCTTGTGTTCCCCAGAGGGCACCTCAGCAGATAGAGGACTGAAGTGTCCAGTGACCAGGAGGAGGAGTGTAGGAGGGGAAAAGCAGGCAGGGTGGGGTGTGGGAGGGGGTTGGTGACCCCAGGAGAGGAGCAGAGAGTGCTCAGGAGAGGGCATAGCTGTGTGAAGGCCCTGAGGCAGGAGCACCCTGCCCTGGAGCAGTGAGGTGGATGGCCAGAGGCTGGAGCCCATGAGCTGGGGACAGTGGGCAGGTCAGCCACAGGGGGCTCATGGCGTCCCCCGGAAGGATGGGCCACTCTTGTTCGGCGTCCCCCAGGAGTGACCGGGCCCGGTGGATCACAGCGCTTACCTACAAGGAGAAGCAGTGGAAGGGCCTGACCAACAAAGGAGGTGAGTGGGGCTTGCAGACGCAGCCCCAGGGTGGGAGCGGCCTGCAGGAGAGGCACTGTGCAGCCCGGGGTGCACACCACACCGCCCCGGCAGCGTGCCCAGGCGTGTCTGCATGTGCACATGCGTGTGCGCGTACCTGAGCACACACACCCTTCAGAGGCCTTGGCCTGCCCCATGGCTGCCGAGCACAGGCCACACAGCAGGCGGGCACCCAGCTCTGGCCCGGCCCTGTCCCCGAGGGAAGGAGTGCCTTCTGCCCATGCTGGGTGCTTTGACCTTGAAGGCAGGGTCCTGTTCTGCAGCCTCTGGAGGGCCTGTGTTGGCCTGAGGGACATGTCCGTGTGCTGGGACCCCTGTGGCCTGAGGGACACTGCCCTGTCCGTGTGCTGGGACCCCCTGTGCCCTGTAGACCATGGGGTCGGTGGAGGCGGTCGGCAGGGTGGAGGGACCCTGCTGCCTCAGGCTGCACAGAGCTCCTGGCTGAGCCTCGCCTGGACTTCTGATGGCCAATGCCCCCTCCACCAGAGCTGCCCCAGGTGGAGGTCACCAAGGCCTACTTTGCGAAGGAGGCGGACGAAATCACACTGCAGCAGGCAGATGTGGTCCTGGTCATGGAGGAGGAGGCCGGTGAGCATGGGTGGGCGGGGGCCAGGCGGGCGTGGAGCACGCTGGGTGGCAGGATGACGTGTGCTCAGGGCCGGCTGCCTCCTCCCTCGAGCATCTCGTCAACGGGAGGACTGTTTGTCCCCAAGTCACGGGATCAAAAGCCAGCTCTTGCRCACTCTGTGCCCTCAGTGGGGAGGGCTCTGCTCTCCTAGGGGTCCCCACTCAGCTGGGCCCGAGTGTGCCTGCAGAGTGGGACAAGCACAGCCCTGATGTCCCTCTTAGTGGGCAGCCTGGGGGTGGTCAGTGCCCAGCACTGCCCAGGCTCGGGGGGGCCCGCGGCCCGCCTCTTATGCCCACTCTCTCTGTCAGGGTGGCTCTTTGGAGAGAGGCTTCGGGACGGAGAGACGGGCTGGTTCCCCGAGGACTTTGCCCGCTGCATCACCAGCCGTGTGGCCGTGGAGGACAACGTGCGCAGGATGGAGCGGCTGCGGGTGGAGACCGACGTGTAGGCGGCCCCCTGCGGCCCCCTGTGGCCCAGAGCCAGCTGTGGCTTCTAGTCCCAGCCAGAACGTGGCCCTGGCTCCAGGGAGCCTGGTGGGACACTCCAGGGCCCCACGTGCTCCCGGCTGAGACCCTGTCTGAGGCTCCCACCCACAAGGAAGAGCCTGGAGGCAGCATCTCGCCCCCCAGCCCCTGGCCACCTGCCACCCACCTGCTGGGCATCCGCGGGGCAGCCACGCCCAGGCTCAGTGACAGAGATGACTGAGGCCACCACCTGCCCACGCCCCTCCTGTCCCTAGTGACAGGAGGGCCTGAGTGCTGAGGGGCCCTGTCCTGAGAGGCGGGCTGCCAGCAGGAGGAGACCTAAGGGCCAGCAGGAATACTGTGACTTTGAGTTTTAAGGTGTCAATAAAGTGTTTCTTCAGAACTTGGATTTCTGCAGTGAATCTGAGTCCGGGCGAAGGTCACGTTTGTCCTGGTGAAATTCTGAAAGTGCTGTGGGTTGGGGCTGGCCCCTGAGTGAGGTCACCCCGTGCTCGTCCTTGGCTCTGGCCATTGTCCACCAGCTGGAGTGTCCTGGGCAAGGCCTGAGGCTCCTGCTCCTGTGGCGAGGGCCCAGGGGGAGTGACAACAGGGCCTTGGAGGGCCCATCCTGGGGGGGGGGAGGTGTGAGCACCCAGATTCCACGGGATCCCCTCTGGGGGCCTGCAGTGAAGGCAGCCCCCTTCCTCACGCATCCCCCAGCCCTCTGGGAGCCCTCGGGGACAGAGGTAGGAGACGCCCCAGAGCCRACCCAGGCTGGCCAGGTGGGAGGACGGTCCAGCTCTCTGGGAAGCCCGCACTGGCCCTCCTGCATCCTGTGCTGACGCCCTGGCCTTTCTGGGCCTGGGTGCTGCTGCTGTTGGGTGGGGGCCCCACACACGCTGGAGTCTGCCCTGACCCTGCACCTGCAGAGGCCCACCCGCCATGAAGGTCGGGTGCATCTTCTCTGGGTGCGAACCAGCAACAGTGATGGAGCCGCACGGGTCCTTCAGGCCCCGGGGCGGCCCAGGAGGGGTGGGCACGGCCTGTGGGAGGGCACTGAGTCAGGGAGCTGCCGCACCAGGAGGGAGAGCCGGCTCCTCTCTGTGGTCTTCGTGGCCTCTGGCAGCTGGAAAGGCCGAGCCCAGGTTCAGCCCAAGTAGGACCGTCCTGGGCAGGGACTGTGGTCAGTGGCTGCACTGCACGAGGAGGCGGGCAGGTCTTGGAGAGAGAGGCTAGGTCTGGGGGTGACCCACTGGAGAGAGGCCCCGCTGCCCCTGCTCCTGGACACGTGGGCACATCAAGCCTCCAGTCCCTGCCTGAGGCTTGAGCCGGGTGGCCTCTTCTCTTTCCTGCAGCTACTGTGGGACAAGCAGGCTGGCCAGGGGGTGTGTGTTGAGTGCTCACGTGCCATGGCCTGCCCTACTCAGGAGCACGGGCCTGGTCTTCATGGCAACCCAACTGCCCCACAGTCCTCCTGCCAGCTCACCACTGAGCCCCAAGGATCAGGGTCCAGGAGGGGCAGGCGGGCCCAGCACTTGACTCCCCCAACCACAGTCCAGCCAGCAGAGCAAAGTGGCCACAGGCTGGGCTCTGCCTCTGAAGCCTGTCCTTGCTTGTGGTTAGGGCAGTACGGCTTCATCAGCAGGGGAAGGACAGCCCTGGGCTGGAGGGTGGCTGGGGCCACCTCGGTCCCAGCCCAAGCCAGGTCTGCTCAGGATAGGCCATCCTCCCTAGCAGTGAGGAAGGACAGGGTCTGGGCTGCCAGCAAGGCATGGGGGCTGTCAGCAAGGCAGGCCCAGCCGGCCCCGCCAGTCCCAGTCCACAGCCGAGGCAGCCTGATGGAGCGTGGTCCCCCGCTGAGAACCCTGGGCCTCAGCCCACCCGCTGTGCTGTGTCAGGTACTCCCCTCCCGATAATGGGGTCCTGTGGAGGACCCTGCCACACCCAGGGCAGGCCTGCCTAACCACCCTTCCTCCTGTCCAGATGCGTGACGCAGGGAGGCCCTTGCCTGCATGGAATCCCCACTGCACTCGGGGAAACGGAGACCCCAAATCTCTCTACCCACTCCTGGGGTCACTGGGCTTACAGAGGACCCTCAAGGCTTTTAATGACACCAGCCATCTCCAGCAAGACCTGTCTCAGGACGGACGGAGTGGGACCAGGCAGTGCCTGGTGTGCCAGCCTGGGGCCACATGGGCACTGCGTCTGCAGGGAGTGGGGACAAGGGCTGTGGTCCATCTCAGCAAACATCAGTGTCCAGCCCAGCCAGTGAGGACCCCTCCCAGGCCCTGGGGCGCCCCGCCCTGTGTGCCCTTGTGGGCAGGGCTCCCATGGAGGAGGCCTGCCCCTCTCGGCCCCACTGTGGGATCCCCGGTGCTGCTCTGCACCTCTGGCTCCCTGGTTCCAGCCCCTCCCTCTCTTGCCAGCCACAGTGTACCCTTGGGCGCCCCTGCTGGCTAACAGAGGTATTGCTGCCGGACCCTGGGACACGGGCCCCAGGATCCCACAGCCCCAGCAGAGGTCTGGTGGTAGCAAGACTGTCCCACCCCACACACTGCTGGCATGTCCGTGACCCTGCTCATGTCCTCATCTCTGCCTGTCAACCCACTCGACATCGGACCTGGACCACTTTAGACATGGCAGAGGCTTCCCCAGAGCCATGTGCACTCCATTGCCAGGCCTTGATTCAACAGGTTGGAATCATGTCAGGTGCAAGGACTGGGAGGTCCCCTCTGTCACATCACAGTTGTCCCTTGTTTATGTATACATATGCTTCTGTTTAGGTCTTTAAAAACTCAGAGTAGAAATCCTTGTGCCAGACTCGTGCCCACCTACGTGTGGGTTTGTTGCCCTGGTGAGAGCATCTCAAACTGCTTCCTATTTGGCTATGGCTAATGTTGAAGGCCTGGTGACTTCTGTAGGCTTTATAATGTATATGACACATGGCTTTCTTGCCAACCTTGGTGAATCTTACTAACTGCAGCCCTCGGCTGGTGCTTTTCTAGATAATCCCACCCCCTGGAAATCACAGCAAGTTTGTCTCACGGCAGACCCTGGCACCTAGTGCTCACCGGACAGCACTGTCGGGGCCTCTGAGCTCTGGGGGCTGCAGGCACTGTTTTCCAACTCTTGGTCCAGCTCCAGGGTGTCCAGCAGGGCGCTGGAAAGCCCCTGCCTCCCCAGACCCCGCGTTCTAGTGGGGAAGGGGGGAGGTGGGAGCTGAGCAGAAGCCGTGGTGGGCACGCGGTAGGTGTGGGAGGCCCTTGGATGGCAGGGAGTGGACAGACCCAGATTCATTTGTGGCTCCACTAACCATGACCCTGGTACTTGGCCACCATTGTTAGTGCCCCTTCTGTACCCGGTTTCCCGAGAGCTGGCATCCGAACGCCTCCGGCCTGACCTCTCCCCTTGCCAGCGCTCCTCCGTTTGACCAGGAGGACATTAGCTGCTTTTGTTTGTTTGTTTGATGGCGCCGAGGACGAGCCCTGGGCCTCACGCAGCCTGGGCCAGCGCTCTGCACCGAGCCACGCCTGCCAGCCCAGACGTTAGTTCTGAACCCTGTTCTCACTTGGGAGTTCGCTTCCCTATTTCATGCCGACCTGGTTTTAGCCATCAGTATCCACCCCAGGCCAGAGAAGCCACTTTTCCTCTATTTAAAGTCCCCGGAACCAGTCACAATAGACTAGTCCACGGTGTCTTCGGAGCCTGGGCCCCCGTGCCAGCATCTGCATCAGGCACGGCGGGGACCAGAGCGAGGGTGCAGACCTTCCTGGCCACTTGCGTCCACTCTGGGGCTGGTGTGGCCCTGGCTGGTGTGGCCCTGCTGGTTCTCCTGTTTGCCCCTTTCCTGTTTTAAAGACTCTTGATCTTTTTTTGTTTTGCTCTCTACTGCAGGTGGGTTCATTCTCCCTGCTTCTTCTGTGTTGTTTTTCTTGTTTCATATTCAAAATCATCAGTCTTCTACGCTTTTTTTTTCTTATTAGTCTTCAAAGAAGGAAAGTCTGGTTTTATTAAATGTGCCACTTGTCTCCATGCTGAGTATAAGGTTCACAGGAGTGAGGGTGAATGTGTGTGTGTGACACATGGATAAAATGCACCTGGGGATGCACTTAGCTTACTCAGGTTCGACCCTCGCTTCTTATTTGCCTAAACTATTGGTTTTTGTGAAGAGCACAGTAAAACCACCAGCCAAGATGATTTATTTCATCCTGTTTCACCCACCATTGCTCTGTGAATTCTGAACCTCGTGTGTGTGTGTGTGTGTGTGTGTGTGTGTGTGTGTGTGTGGACAGTCTTGTCACCTTGAAATACTAAGACTCTCACCAGCCTTCCTCGGCATGGAGGTGGATTAGTTGTGTCCTTTTTCTCCTCTCCTCATTAGTCCATCAGTGGGGTCTTTTTTTTTTTGGTGGGGGGCAGGTACTGAAGATTGAACCCAGGGGTGCTCACTCCCTGAGCCACATCCCCAGCCCCTTTTTATTTTTTGAGACAGAGCCTCACTAAGTTGCTTAGGGTCTCACTAAATTGCTGAGATTGGCTCTGAGCTTGCGATCCTCCTGCCTCAGCCTCCTGGGTCGCTGGGATTACGGGCCTGCACCACGACACCTGGCCCATGACTCAGGATCTGTTGACAGTTCAGGGGACCTGTTTGGGTCCTCCCTTATCACCACGTGCACCCTGTGTTTCCTTCCTAGGCTCTACTGTCCCTTCCTTCCTCCCACTGGATGGCCCTGCTTCTCTGGAGGGTGTGAGATGAGGTGTTCCACCAGCATCCTCAGGCCAGCTGACCCCAGGCTCTGCCCCTCACTTCCTGTGGCTGATCACTGGGTTTCACCAGCCAGGATGGGTGCCATTCCCCCTCCATCTGTCCCTGCCTACACTCTCGCACCACGGTGACAGAGTCCAGGGGTCCTTGTGGATTAACGGGACTATTCCGCTTCTCTTAATCACTAGGGCACATGGGAACATGAATAATAACTCCCTCCTGGGATCCTCTCCCTCTTGTGGAAATTTTCCAGTGAGCGCTTTCAAATCAGGCTTGTATGGGTGACTTCATGGATCTTGATAGTTTAGCTGGACATAAAAATTCAGGTTTCAGAATTCCTCGCCTCTTGAAGCTACAGAACAACGCTGTTTGCAGCCTTCGGTGTTTCTCTTACAGAGTCCACCGCGGGCCTGGTTCCCACTGGCCTTTCTTCTCCAGGCACCTTAGAGTTTCTCTTTGCCCCTGATGGTCTTGGATTTGTTAGACTCGGGGGTTTCTTTTGGCCTTCCCTTTGGGATCATTCACCCTTCGGGCTGAGAACTTCCTGTGGGTGGCTTTATGCCGACAGCTTCCCCTTTTCCCAGGACCACCATTAGAGGGATGCCAGTGAACACTCCCATCAGAGCCCACGAGAGCCCATCAGAGCCCATGAGAGCCCACAGAACCCATAAGAACCCACAGAGCCCAGCAGAGCCCATCAGAGCCCACGAGAGTCCATTAGAGCCGATGGAAAGCAGCGAAGACACAGGCCGCAGAAGCCCACATTAATTTAACTCGCTGGGCTTTACATGGAACCTGAGCACATCTGCTGGGGACCGCAGGGCCCTGCCAGCCTGAGTCCAGGCTTCCTGGGACGGGCAGCTTCTAGCGGCCTCGGGGCAGCGGGGCGTGTGGCACTGCCCATAAATACCTATACATAACCGGCCAGACCACATCTGCAAGTAAAGAGTCAGTCGGCCAGGCTGCAGCAGTCCAGGGCCTAGCACCAGGAGGGCCTGCTCGGAGAGCAGAGGCCCACACCCACAGCTGCCTTGGTCCCCACCCAGGCTGTCGGGAGGGTCAGGGCGTCCTCAGCCCAGCTAGCCAGGTGCCTGATGTGGACGAGCAGCCCGAGGTCCGGTCCACTCCCCTGGGCTACTTGTGGCCACATGAGGCCTCCCTCCTCGCAGCCACAGGGCCCTGGCTGATGGAGAGGCTGGGCAGCTGTCTGCAGCCCTCCCCTGAGACCCACAGCTGTCCACAGCCCTCTGGAGAGAGGCAGGAGTYCTAGGTCCACGTGGGTTCTCTTGCATCACCAAGGCCGGGTCCCTCAGCCGGAGCTTTGTGCGAGCCTCCATGGCAGGGGCTGCCTCAGCTAGTGCCTGCAGAGCTGGGTACCTGTCCGCTGGAGACTGGCCGTGTGGCCGCTGGGGCAGGAGAAGAAAGGAGGGTCAGTCCTGGGGGTGGCAGCTCTTGAAACAGCCAGGTCCTGGCTGGCCCGTCCCCACCCTCCTCCCCAGCTCCACATCAGGTCTAGATTCTGAGGTCCGGGCAGCAGAGATGTCTACTGCCAAGCCTGGACCTTTGGACTTAGCCACAACACACCCTCCCGGAAAGCCCGTGGGGCATTCCCCACCCCTTACCTGTGCCCCGTGCTAGGGACAGGCTCTCGAGGAACTGGGAGGGCCCACCTGTGAGGGGACACACAGCAGTTCACATGGGTGCCCTCATTCTTGGATGTCACTGTCCTGGGGCTGTGAGGCCTCACCCACCCCTGCTGCAGGGACCCCCTCCCAGGCACGGCCTCCTGCTCCATCTCACTCCTGCCCAAGCCCCACTCCTCCCAACGCACGCTCCCAGCCTCTCCTTTCCAGAAGGCATGAGAGGCAGGGCTGGATGGGGAGGGACTTCCCCAGAGCTAAGCCAAGCCCACTCCCGGGCAGGGAACAGGGTCCAGAACTCCACAGGCCAAAGAGGCCCTGCCCAGAGGGGCCCAGCTTCAGAGACCTCAGGCTCAATGTCTGGGCTAGGGTGCCCCAGGGTGCACCGCCACACCTGGCCACTGGGTGCCGCTGTGGACAGCGTTGTGTGCCAGCACCAGCAGGCAAGTGGCGGCCTGGTCCCCAGGACCCACCCCACTGTGGAGCCGGGCTCCCTCCTCCATGCCTCCCTCCCTTCACAGCTCTTAGGATCTGAGGCCAGGATCATCTTGGAGAGTTCAAGAAGMACTCATGTCAGGGGTCTCCAGCTGGGATCCCTGCTCGGCCATACAGGAGCCCTGTGGTGGGCGCCTCGCCTCTGTCCTCATGCCCTMTGCAGAGACCCTGCCCAACACCTGCAGCATCCCAGGCCTGGGGAGCCAACCTGGGCCAGCCAGGGGGTGTGGGCACCCCCAGCTCTGCCCGCCTGCACTGCCTCGCCCAGCCCGGCCTGTAGGGTGGGCTGTCTGGGCTCGGGAAGGTGGGGCTGCTGGCTGGCAGTGCCCACCCTGCCCCATGGTTAAGTGGCTATGAGCTCACACCTGGCCTGTCAGGAGCCGCGTGGACACTGTGGGTACTGGGCAGGGATGGCTGTGGTCTCTCTGGCTGGCTGCACCCACTCAGTGATATCAAGGCCAGGGACAGGTCCTCAGCCAGGGTGGGAGCCCAGTGTCTTCCCTCCCTCCCCAGGAGCACAACTCACCTTCCCGGCACGTGGGCCCCATGTAGTCATCCACGCAGTGGCACTGCCCACTGACCGGGTCACAGTCAGCCCCCACTGAACACTCACAGCGCAGGGCACAGCCGGGCCCAAAGCGGCCTGGTTTGCAATCTAAATGCAAGGGGGGAGGGGAGAGGCCTGAGCAGGTCCCTGTCTGCCGGGCTGTGGGCAGAGAGCTCGGCGAGTGAAGGCCTCGTGTCCCCTGGGGGCAGGACAGCCCCTGCCCTGCTTTCCCAACAGGGTGCTGCATCTGAGGGCTCCTGCATGGGACGGGTGCCTTCCCAGAATCACTACCCATGTTCCCGCCCAGGCTCCGGGTGGGCAGAGGGGGACCTGTGGCCGAGGCGGCTCCCCCAAGGCTCGTCAGGCCCAGGAACCCTCCAGTCAGTCCACTGTGCAGCCCCGGTAGGGCAGCCCCCACCCTTGGGTGGCCCTCCCACCCTCTCAATGCCCCCACCCCCAGCCAGCAGATAGGGACCACCTTCCACCTATCAGGGGCTTCCTCCCATGATCAAATATCCCGGCCCCAGGAGACGGGCCTGGGACTCTGGCAGCCGCGGGGCAGGGCAGGACCTCTACAGCTCCAGCTCTGGTGAGCACACCCTGGTGCCTGCCCCCACGAGGGCCCAGGCTGGGGCCCAGAGGTCGCAGGAGGGCACGTCAGTCAGGTGGCACAGGTGGCGCTCAATCCACAGTCAATATGGAGACCCACTCCACAACCCTCCAGCCAGACCCCCACTCACCCAGGTCACACGTGGCTCCTGAGCGCCCTGGTGGGCACAGGCAGAGGCCGCTGACGGGGTCGCAGGGCGCCCCACCACTGCAGCCACACCGTTGGTGGCAGCCTTCTCCAAAGGAGCCTGGCTCACACCCTGGAGGGGACAGTGGGCTCAGCATCCCCTCTCGTCCTGCACCCAGACTGGACAGGGACAGGGACAGGGTTGAGGGGCTGCCTGGGGAGCCTGTGGGGCACAGGACACTCACCCCTCTCACAGAACTGGCCGTGGAAGCCGGCTGGGCAGAAGCACTGGCCACTGACGGGGTCACAGGAGGCTCCCTGTTGACACTCACAGGCCTCCTGGCACCCAGCTCCATGGAACCCGGGGGGACAGGCTGAGGGGGGACCCCGGTTACAGGGAGCCAGAGGCAGGGGCAGCAGAAAGCTCCCAGTGGCCCAGAGAGAGCAGGGGACCGAGGACTCGGGCCAGAGAGAAGTCCCTCCCCTGCGTCCTCACGCCCCACGCCCTAGGTCCCCATCCCAGTCTCACAGCCCGGCAGGGCTCACACAGGACCGCTGGGGTGTCCACCTGGGTGGCAGCCCAGACCCTGCTCCCTGAGTGACCCCAAGGAGCCACCTCTGACATGAGAGTCAGGTCAGGCTCAACTCCGGGACCCCACGAGCAAAGGCCAGCCCGATGGCCCACTCAGGGCCGAGGACAGCCACTGGCCACAGCCCAGCCGGCAGAGGCCCCAGCCCACGACTCACAGTGCTCGCAGGCCGGGCCATAGAAGCCAGGGCCACAGCGGCAGGCGCCCGAGGCGGGCTCACAGGTGCCGTTGTTCTGACAGGCGCACTCCAGGAGGCAGGCGGCACCGTAGCGCCCAGGGGGACAGGCTGGGAGAGGGCAGGAGGACAGCCCCTCAGGCACAGACTCAGGGGACCAGCCCCTCAGCCAGCCCTCTGTCAGCCCAGGCCCCCCAACAAGGGCCCCAAGCCCTGCTCCCTCAGGGGCACACAGGGCCACTCCCCTGCCATAGCTGACCCTTCCTCCTGCCCACTGCTCTTGGGGACGCCTCTGGCCCCCTCACTCACCCTGCTCGCAGTGTGGCCCCATCCAGCCCGGGCGGCAGGAGCAGCTGCCATGGGTGCTGTGGCACAGGGCTCCGTGTCTGCAGTCACACTGGAGCTCACAGCCCACGCCAAACCGGTTCTGGGGGCAGCCTGGGGGCAGAAGACAGGTGCTGCCCAGAGCGCTGGCCAGGCCAGACTGCTCAGGCCACGCCCTGCACAGGCTCCCATTCCTTCAGCAGAGGCTTCCTGGACGTCCTGTGCCAGCCTCACTCGCCAGGCACGTGGTGCCAGAGGGACAGCAGACACCAGGCCTGGCTGAGGGCTGAAGGGACCGGTAAGCAAGGGGCCACGCCCTCCAGAGGCTGGGAGCACCTCCCAGGCAGTGGGCGGGTCAGGAAGGCTTCCTGGAGGTGGTGGCCCTCTCCACACAGTCTCGGCCAGCCTGGGAGCCAGGGCACACCCTCCAGGCCTGGGAAGGGACGCTCCCTGTGGCCCTCCTGTTCAGAGCAGAATGCAGCCGAGGGGGGCTGGTGCCCGGCCTGGAGGAGAAGCAGAGCCAGGCCACCTCCTGGTGGGAGCTGGTCCCTGGGTTCTGACCTCTGGCTGCACAGGATCCTAGGGAGCCCTGAGGCTGAGGAGTTGGGGTGGGGAGGCCCCCTCAATGAGGACTAAGGGGATCCTGGGGACTGGCACATAGCGGAGAACACAAGCCACCGCACTGTCCCCCTTTCCCCTGTCTCACTGGCCTGTGCTCGGCTGCTTCCCCCTGGGCGCCCTGCGCCTGGGCCTGGAGACATGGCCGGGGCCGGCTCCCCCTCGGACAGAAAGCAGCTCTGGCCAGACCTGAAGCCCCCACTGGCCACAGGGACACTGCCAAATCACTAGGTGGCCTGAGCCTCTAGCCAGTAGGGGGAGGCAGGGGCTGGGGTAGGACGGGGCCCTGTCCACCCAGCAGGGCAGTACTGGCCGTACAGTAAGGGTGCTGCCCTCCGCCCACAGGGGCCTTTTGGGAGCCCATGGTTGCTTTGGGGACAGGCTGGGAGAGGGCAGGAGGACAGTCCCTCAGGCACAGTTGTCTGACCTCCCATGGCTAATGGAGGGACATCGGTGTGGTGTCCCTGTGCCACCCCCATGGACACTCACCATGCTCACAGTGGGTGCCAGTCCTCCCCGGTGGGCAGATGCAAGTGCCGGTCACAGGGTCACAGGTGGCCCCCTGCCCGCAGGCACACACATGGGCACAGCTGAGGCCAAAGTGGCCTGGTGGACAGGCTGCCAGGGAGGGGGCAGATGAGCTGGCAGACCCCAGCCGGGCCCTGCCCGGGGACTGCCCTTCTCTCCCTGTCACCGGCAGGCTCTGCTGGGAGCTGGGCTCTGCGGTGACTCACGCCACCCCTCCCACCCCAGCTCCCCCGGCCCCAGACAGGGAGAGTCTCCATGACTCAGGAGAAAGGCCCCTCCTTGGCAGCAGTGACCACAGCTGCAGCTGGGGAGAGTAGGATCCCACTGCTGTCCTGCAGAGAGGGTTGCTGGCCTCTCTGCCACACAGGTTAGCTCAGCCTAGACCAGCAAGAGCGGGTCAGAGAGGTGCTCAGGGTGGTGCCTGGGAGGCGGTCCTCCTGCGGGCTGGCTGGCAGGGCCTTGCTCCCCAGAGATGCAGGAAGAGCCCCGGGCCTGTAGCTGGCCACTCACTCAGACTGCAGTCAGCTCCGAGGAACCCGGCAGGACAGTGGCAGGCCCCTGTGGCTGCGTCACAGGAGCCCCCGTTCTGACACCCACACACCTGTCCACAGCCTGGACCGTAGCGCCCAGGCGGGCATCCTGTAGGGACAGGAGCCACTGCCAGGGGCTGGGAGCTGGAGGCTGACCCCCAGCAGCCCTGAGCTGAGCATGGCAGCCCCCACATGCCTCCTCCAACCCCCTCAGGCAGAGGCCGTCCAGGGCGGGCAGGCCACCAGGCCTCAGGGGGCACTCACGTTTCTGGCAGCCAGTGCCGTGGTAGCCGGCCATGCACACGCAGGCCCCTGTGGCAGGGTGGCAGGCCTGAGTCTTGCCAGGACACTGGCACAGGTGCCTACAGTCCTCTCCAAAAGTGCCGGGCCAGCAGGCTGGGTGAGTGGGGTGGGGTGGGGTCAGTCCTGGCCAGCCTCAGGAATGGGCAGCCTGTCCAGGGGCGCCCCAAGCCGGGCAGCACCTACCCTGCTCACAGCCAGGCCCGGTGAAGCCAGCAGGACAGTGACACTCCCCAGTGACGTGGTGGCAGGAGGCCCCAGGTGGGCAGCGGCAGCTCTGGACACAGGCCTCTCCGAACCAGCCGTGTGGGCAGGCTGCGGGAAGGGCGTGGGCTGGGAAGGCTCCCGTCCAGGGCACGGCGGGGAGCCCTGCGGCCAGACTGGGCTGCAGGCAGCCACCCTGGGCAGGACCGTCCCTCCTTAGCCAGGGGCCCCGTGAGCCGGCCACACTGGGGGCTGCACTCACCCTCCTCACACCGTGAGCCCCTCCATCCTGGGGGGCAGCGGCAGGCCCCCGTGACATGGTGGCAGGCTCCCCGACGACAGGGACAGCGCTCCTCACAGTGAGCCCCGAAGGTGCCCTCAGCACAGGCTGTGGGCAAGGAGACAGATGGGAGGCGGAGCCCTCTGTGCCCCCTGCCCCAGGAGAGAAGGGTGGACAGGGCCCAAGGCAGGGGGGAGAAGCTACTGGACCAGCTGAGAGCACAGGCCAAGCAGGCCCACCCCAGCCCAGGGCAAAGTGGGACTCCCCAGCCCGGTCAGCCTGGGCCCCCGGGTCCAGACCCCCCACGGGGCCTTGCAGCTCAGACAGCAGCCCCCCAACCTCCGTGGTGAGGACCACTCTGCGTCCTCGTCTGGGTGAGGCTGAGAGGACCCTTGGCAGCCCAGCAGGGCTCCCAGCTTCCCGCCCCACTCACGTCTCTCGCACTTGTCCCCAGTCCAGCCAGCAGGGCAGAGGCAGCGGCCCGTGTGCCGGTCACAGAGGCCTCCATTGAGGCAGCCGCAGCTGAGCTGACAGCCAGCTCCGTAGTGTCCGGGGAGGCATTCTGCAGCAGTGGGCGAGGATGAGGGTCCTGGCCCTGGGGCAGGGGTGTGTCCAAGACCAGGCTCCTACCTCCTTGGGGACCGACCTCAGGAGAGGCACCCAGGACCACCCCCAGGTGCTGCCCTCTGGCCTGGGAGTCCTCCTGGGCCACCCAAGCTTACCATTCTCACAGGCCAGGCCGGACCAGCCCTCTGCACACGTGCAGCGGCCTGAGACAGGGTCACAGCTCCCTCCGTTCTGGCAAAGGCAGGCTTGTCGGCAGCCCTGGCCATACTGGCCAGCGGGACAGGCTGGGTGTCGGGGAGAGGGAGCAGTCTACCGTCCAGCTAGCAGCACCCCGGCTCTGCAGGCTCCTGGCACCCTCACAGGCCCAAAGCAGACCGGGGGTGGGGACCTCGACTGACCCCAGGCCCAGTCAGGACCCCCCAGTCTTGGGGGCACAACACTGAAGCGACCCCCTGATTCTCTCCCATAGGGGCCAGGGGCTTCTGGGAGTGAACAGGCCCACCCCTGCCTGGATGCCAGCACCCCACACCGTGAGCCCGCAGGGCTTGACCAGAGACTGGACTCCTGGGCAGGGCTTACCCTGCAGGCAGGTGGGCCCCATCCAGCCGGGGGCACAGTGGCACTGCCCGTGGACGGGGTCACAGGAGGCCCCATTAAAGCAGGTGCAGGGCTGGCTGCAGTTAAGGCCGTAGGTGAGGGCCGGGCAAGCTGCCAGGGAGAGGGGCGGTCAGGGCTGAGGAGGGCCACCAGAGGGCGTCAGCAGGAGGCTCGGGCACTGGGCAGGTCTGGTAACCCCCCTCCCTCTGGCCTGGGACTCCCTCTCAGACTGGGTCCTCAAGAGCGAGTGCCTGCCTGCCTGCAGGGAACACCCAGGGTGGGGACCCGGTGAGCCTCCTGCAGGCTGCGCAGGGCCTCACGCACTCTGGGTGCAGCGGGGTCCCTGGCGGCCTGGCGGGCAGAGGCAGGAGCCGTTCACATGGTCGCAGGCGGCCCCCGCGGAGCAGTTGCAGGCGCCACGGCAGTCCAACCCAAAGAAGCCAGCTGGGCAGGCTGCAGACAGAGGCAGGGTGGTGCGAGCCCAGAGGTCAGGGGACGCGCCCTGCCCTGCCCTGGAGATTCCTTGGGCCAGCAGCCAGAGCCCAGCTCACCTCGCTCACAGAAGCTTCCCCTCCAGCCTGCTGGGCAGGTGCAGGCCCCGCTGACATGGTCACAGGCTGCCCCGTGCTCACACTGGCACTGGTGCCCACAGCCTGGTCCAAAGTATCCTGGGGGACACCCTGAGACACCCAGCCCCAGCCCCCTGTCAGCCAGGGGGCCAAGGGCCCGACCAGGCCCCCAGAACTGGCAGCAGGGCCGATTCCCAGGGAAGTCCTCCCGACAGTCTCCCTCACGTGGTTCCTCCCCGGCCCCCACAGGGGTGGTGAGATACCCAGAGGTCACCTTCAGGCCTGGGCCGCCCCTAGGACAACCCGCCCAGCTCCCTGGGCCCTCCCACCTGGGAAACACACACAGCGCCAAGCGCCACCGCCCAGGCGCCAGGTGTCCCGTGCAGGCCCTGCTTGGGTCTTCTGCCTGACCTGGGCAGGTGGGGCCGGGCATGCTCGGTGGGGGCAGGCAGGCAGGCAGGCAGGCACTGTGTGCACACACCAATGTGTGCCCCTCCCAGCGTGCCCGTGCACCGCACACCCGTGCACACTCCGGGCCGGGACCAGGACCCCCAGGACTCACGCTGCTCGCACCGTGGGCCCACGTAGCCAGCCTCACACAGGCACAGGCCACTGATGGCATCACAGTTCCCGTGGCCTGCGGTGCAGTCGCAGGGGTAGCTGCAGTCGGGCCCCCAGTGTCCACTGTCACAGGCTGCAACAGAGCCCAAGATTGCCCTGCGCAGGCCCGGTGGAGTCCACAGGCTCTGCAGCCAGGTGGGGGCCCAGGAGCAGGAAGCGGAGGGACAACTGGGAGCACAGGCAGGGTCTCCGTACCTCTCTGACAATGCAGGCCAGTCCAGCCAGGGGCACAGCTGCAGCGCCCAGTGGCCGGGTGGCAGTGCCCATCGTTGCCACAGGAGCACCTCGTCTGGCAGCCGGGTCCAAACCAGCCTGCCGGGCAAGCTGTGGGCAGTGAAGGAGGGTGAGGGCGGTGGCCAGCACGCCCTCCAGGCCGCCGCCCGGGGCTGAGGTCAGGTGTGAGCCACTCACCGTCCTGACAGCGGCTGCCCACGAAGCCGGGGAGGCACAGGCAGGCTCCCGTCGCGGGGTCACAGCGAGCACCGTGCTCACACACAGGGCAGATCTCCTGGCAGCCGGGCCCCCAGTGGCCCTCGGGACAATCTAGTGCCCCCAGCACCAGTCAGTCTCCCTCCTGCCCTAGCTGGCAGGTCAGCGTGTGCCTGGCACCACACTGACCCCCCGGAGCAGGCCAGGAGGGGAAGCAGGCTGCCCATCTGAGGCTGCCAGGAGAGGAGGGGCTGCGTCCTCAGGGCCCTGGCACCTCCTGGGGCTGCAGGGCACCACCCACAGCAGTGAAGCCCCAGTTCCAGGGTCGGCTCAACAGACAAAGAGGGCAGCCAGAGGGAGAGGCCAGATCTCCACGCAGTGCGCTGCCTGTCTGGGGGGACACTGCAGGCCCCAGGCTCCCTGCCCACACCAGGCTCAGTCCAGCACAGTTCCTGAAGCTTCTGTCGAGGGCCTGGGATCTGTATGGCCTGTGCCAGGGTCCCCAAAGACGGCCCAGGGGTCTTCAAGTAGGGTCCAGCAGGGATCTTTGAACACAGCCCCCAGCTGACCCCACCTGAACTCCTGCAGCCCAGGAAGGAGTGGTCTGAGGGTGCTGCCGCCACTCACCTGCCCCACAGTCCTCTCCGGTCCTGCCTGGTGGACACAGGCACTGCCCTGTGATCCGATGGCAAGAGGCACCCCCACAGGAGCAGGAGCCTGAGCAGTTCACACCAAATGTCCCCTCTGGGCACTCTGCAGGAGGGACAGTAGGGGCCTCAGCCACCCCATGAGAGGCTGCCCAGCCAGGCAGTCTTCCCTGCCCTCTGAGGCTCCTGGCATCAATACCCCCCGCCCGGGGCCCAGACACCTGCTCCAGCTCCAGCAGAGGCTGCTGGACACTGGGAGCCGGGCCCAGGAGCAGTCCTTTACCTTGGTGGTAAAGGACTGGGGCAGGTCAGGTGGAGGGCAGCAGGAGGGCAAGGTGCCTGTCAGGTGGAAGCCACAGCCGCCAGACCCAGACAGTGCCCCAGACAGTGCCCCGGGAAGGGTGGCAACCTTGCATTCCTCCTCCCTCATGGAGACCTGCCCGGGGTGTGCCAGTCCCGTCTCCACACCCCCCAGCCAGCTGGGGACACCCCCAGGGCCTCAGCCTCAGGGGCTGGGGGAGGATTTGCATCCACCTGGTGACCCGGGGTGGGAAAGAACAGTGGCCAGATGCTCTGCACACTGAGAGTGGGCCCGAAGGCCTCGGGTCCCCCACCCCACCACTCAGCAGGAGCAGAGAGCAGCAACGCTGGACAGGACCCCGCAAGGCCCCCAGCAGGGTCTCAGGAGATGCTGGTGCCCTGGAGCCCAACTCTGCCCTGGGAGGCCTGCAGTGGCTGCTCCCCACACCTGCCCTGCCCTCGGGGCCCAAGTCCAGCCTCCTGGCCCAGGAGGACAGTGCCTGCGTCTGGGGTGGGAAGTGCAGGCGGGGGAGGCATCCCACTGCCCTGGAGAGCCAGCGGCCCTGATGAGGTGGACTGCAGGCCAAGGCACAGGTGTGCACCCAGCATCTGGGCACCCTCTAGAGGACCGGGTGCACGACAAGCACCAGGGGTAGCACACACCTGGACCAGAGGAGAGGGCCCAGCGCTACCGGGGAAGCAGCATCCCCAGCTCCTACGGGCAGACGTGGTGGACGGCAAGTTTCCAGGCCCACAGAGGGAACGCCAACTCTACAAAAGTGTGTGTCCATTCCCGTGGCCATCCTGAGGCCACTGCAGGCTTTTAAATTTAAAAAGTTAAAAAAGAAAGTGGTGGGAGATAGGGAGGGCCAGAAGGGCCTCTTAGCAGATGGGCCAGCAGGGTGGGTGGACAGGCCTCCTCACCGGGACCTGGCAGGCAGTGAGTCTAGATGGGGTGGGTACAAGGGATGGCAGGCCGCAAGGGAGTGTGCCCATGTGCCTGTGTGCCCATGCACATGCCTGCCCGTCCAGCGTGTGTGTGTGTGTGTGTGTGTGTGTGTGTGTGTGTGCACGCATGGTCAGGTTGTCCGGAGGACCTCTGTCCTTCAACATGACCCAGCTCCTGTGGCAATTGCAATCAGGTGGGGAAATGGACACTCAGCTGCTGACTGTGGCCTGAGACCACAGAGTTCCTGTGAGTCCACTCAGGTCTGGGGACTCCAGGCTGGGCTCTGAGCCTGTGCTGTCCCTCCTGTACCAACAGGACCAAAGAACCTTGGACAGCGTCTTTGCCTCAGAGGAACTGGCCTGGGTCAGATGGAGACATTGAGCCTCAGGTCACCTGGCCTGGGTGGCTGAGGGTCCTTAAGCCAATATGGTGCCCTCTCAAGGCATGCTGTCCAGGCCAGGCTGCCAACAGGTCAGGGTGCTGGACAGCCAGACCCCCAGGGACACCTGAGAATCAGCGTCACGATCCATATCCCAGGTGGCCATTGTGACCTCCTCTTCTAGCTGTCACATGTGGGGCCCCCAGGCTCTGTGTTCCTCATGTGCCTGGGCCACAAGATCCACAGGGAGGGGCCTCCATCACTGCCTCCGTGGCCCCTCTGGGAGAAGGCCCTGGGAGACCCCCCAGGGAAGCTGCTACCTCTGCTCCCGGTGGCTGCTCACACTCGAGCCTGCTGCCCCGGGCTCCCGTGCACGGCGCTCCCCGTCCCGGTAGAAGGGAGGAGTGCCCGGGTGCTTCCTCAGAGGCACTGACCCTTCCTCTGAGCCAGACCTGGGCAGACAGGCAGCTGCTGCCCCGAGCAGCTCCTCAGACACAGACCAGTGGCCTGCCACTGCCTGATGAGGGAGGTGACACCGTAGGTAAAGGTGCTGCAGCCGGCCATCCTCCAGCTGAGCAGCACTTCTGGGAGTCAGCCTCTGCAAGGGGCCAGGTGGCCTCCAGCACTGGCTCCCCTGGGGCCAGCCTCACCTTGACCACAGTCCTGCCCCCGGTAGCCAGCAGGACACTGCTCCCGACACTCGCCGCTCACAGGATCACAGGCCACGCCTGGGRGACAGGTGCACGTATGCTGGCATCCTGGCCCGAAGAAGCCTGGCTCGCACTCTGCAGGGTGAGGGGCACCAGAGGGGTGGATGGGTTCGGCCGCCCTCTCAGTGGGCCCCCACACACCATGCTCACCTGGTGACACCGCCTGCCCCAGGAGCCCCCCACCCTGCCATGCTCACCTGCCTGACACCGCCTGCCCCAGGAGCCCCCC